ATGGTCTGCAAGTAGTGCCCGAGGGATTATCGGAGCCACATTCCAGCTATATGGCGATGGTCTGTAAGTAGTGCCCGAGGGATTATCGGAGTCGAACGATGGACTCTTTTTGCGAGTCAGTCAGTGAGTGAGTGAGTGAGTTTTACTCCGCTTTCAGCACCATTCCAGCAGTATCACGGCAGCACCTTTCAGGAACTATATCCCGTGAACCCGCTGTAGACCAACAGTACTTTGATCTTCCCTGTCCCATCATTATGACACACTAAGATTTACAGGGAATACTGCTGCACAGTATTATCTCCTTGTTGAGTCATACAGCCGTGTGTTCATAAGTATCAGTACTATGGTGTAAGTACAAAATGAATACGACCACAATTTCATTGGACATCTCCCTACCAACCAACCCAAGTCACAATATTTCACCCATGCGAACAGTTACTCTGTTATTTGCCTGGTCATTCAAAAAGCTAGTACCAAATTATATATTGGAATGTAAATTGAATATAATGCACAAGAGATATTTGCATCACCCTGTTTTTCCTGTAGGTGTTGGACAACTGCAGTCCCTACGGTGGATGTCGCGAGGAATGTCCTGCAGCTATTGCTGAGGTACAGAAGCATCCTTGTCTTGCCAAGGGGGGTAATGCAGGATTACCTCCCGTCCCTTAGGTCCAGAATATACACAGATCTCAAAACAATGACATTTGTAGCTGCCCTTGGATCCTGTTCTTGAAGGAAGGACGACGACAACGGGGGCTCCCACCTCACACTGGCGGAGGAACGTCTCATGACGTTCTTGCGTCAACTGTTGTCCTCGCATTCTGTGTAGTATTCCTTTTGTAGATATATGTGTGTGTTAATACCACCGTATATAATGTGCATCGATCGGAACTCTCCAAGGCGTATTGCAATATCGTACTGAATGTTTAAGATGTTCAGCTAGCTTTGAAGACCACTCCGTGAAAATCGACCAGTTATACATGGACATATATAGCTTGAGTAGAGGGACACAGCACACTGACACGTTATCACTTATTGTGTACTTTGACGTTAATTAACAACACTAAATGATTGCAGAATTTCGAATAATGAGATTATTGGTAACACTTTAATAAAGGATATATATCGTACACAAGACCTTCATTCTTATTGTGCAAAACAACCGCTACTATGAGCAGCACAACAATAAAGCTCTGTGACTGACCAGTGCGGTAATATAGCATTTTACTGAACGGCACAAACATTGTAAGTAAACAACACGGTTATATATGACATTGTAAATAAACAACACGGTTATATATGACATTGTAAGTAAACAACACAGTTATATATAACATTGTACGTAAACAACACAGGTTATATACATTGTAAATAAACAACACGGTTATATAGCATTGTAAGTAAACAACACAGTAATATAACATTGTTAGTAAACAACACAGTAATATAACATTGTAAGAAAACAGCACAGTTATATAACATTGTAAGAAACAGCACAGTAACATAACATTGTAAGTAAACAACACAGTTATATAACATTGTAAGAAACAGCGCAGTAACATAACATTGTAAGTAAACAGCACAGTTATATAACATTGTAAGAAACAACACAGTAATATAACATTGTAAGTAAACAGCACAGTTATATAACATTGTAAGTAACAACACGGTTATATAACATTGTTAGTAAACAACGCAGTAATATAACATTGTAAGAAACAACACAGTTATATACATTGTAAGTAAACAGCACAGTTATATAACATTGTAAGTAACAACACGGTTATATAACATTGTAAGTAAACAACACAGTTATATTACATTGTAAGTAACAACACGGTTATATAACATTGTAAGTAAACAACACAGTTATATTACATTGTAAGTAACCAGCAGTCATATATCATTGTAAGTAAACAGCACAGTTATATATCATTGTAAGTAAGGAGCAGTTCTATGTTATTGTAAGTAAACAATAGTACTGAATGGCAATCGAGTCTGACTCTCATGATATTTAGATATGCAAAAATGTGCACGGATAACTGGATGTAATTTTTCAAGTTGTTGTCAGCAGAGTGATTATGTGTTTCCTGACAAATATTAATAACATAATATTGCGTCAAAGAATCTCTTTTGCTTTAACAAAATCTAAACAAAATACTCCTCGGATCCTGATCATCCTCGACGCGAGGTGAGGGGGATTTCACTTATGAAATGAAATCTTTCAAGGTAGCATGAGACGTCGTTCAACATATAGCCGAGCTCTCTTCTAAGTCTGAACAATCCTCGAATATGCTGCTCGGCACATACGACGGTCTACCTGCGTTCCATCATTCCAAGAATTCGCCTCAGACCACATCGAAACTTGGGCTGCACCAACAACATATGACTCCGTTTCACCAATTGCAGCAGAAAGTGAACTATGTACTTTATTTAACCTCTCACATAATTGTCGTTTTCTTATTGGCTGAGCGCTCTTCTATAATTTTCTGTAAAACCCGCTTACAAGCGAGTAACTCTTTCTATGTTACCCGCTGGGAATGCCGAACTGTGTGAATTCATTTGGTATTTCGTGTTAGTAGTTCTTCTTCTCGAATTATTGAGTCACGTGGGAAATACCGATGTTTTGCGAATGCCAATCGATTGAAGGGAGACAACTCTAGATTTGTTTTTCTTGTCGTCTATCGTTGTCGGTATTTGTCATTTGCCTAACTCTGGTACTGTTTATTATGATCCGATACCCGTGCTTCAAACAGTTTAATATTGACATTGAGGTGTTCGGTAAGATAAATACGTTGTTCATTGGTCCATCATGGCTCACGAGTTGATGTACCGATACTTGGTAATTTGAACTGTTGTTTTGTAACAGGAATATGAGGATATATCTGTAGGATACGCAATAAGATGCTTCTTCGTGGGATATGCTGAAAAGTTATGTGATATGTATCGAGAGAAATATTTGCTTTCTAATAGGGAAAAAATATTGTATCGCTTTAAGTGCATACTCTCCGTTTACGAAATCACGAGAGTCCTTTATCAAAATATATCCAGTTTCAAATACAATATGTTATTGGCTTATGTGATAGACCTTAACATACAAGAATGGGTATCCAGTTGCTTAGAATGTCTTGTCTCTTCCTGCTCCAATACCGGTTTTGAATACCATCAGGCTCTGACGCCGTATTATACTGAGTCAAAAAAGAAACTTCACATTCTTTCTTCAGGGCACTATAAAAGAACAAGAGATGGTAAGATGGTTAAATTGTTATTATTTCATTGCTGAGATCTGTGTGATGTACTCGATACACTGACAGTGCCATAATCAGTTCCATTAGGCTACACCGCCGTTCCAAAACAGAATGTCAAGTCACAATATGGACGTCGAGAATGGAGATTGGCAGCCCGCAACCGATTTCGAGTGGTCTGTGAGGACAGTCGACCTCTAAACATCTCAGCCCTGGTTCGTGTAGCCGGCAGAAATCTGTCACGTAGGTGACATAGGACGATTTGACGGTCTTCTGCTCGTGACGTCACACGTGGACGACCCGACCTTGGGCGATCAGAAGTGGTGCCAGTTTGTTGTAGACGACCTCGCAAGTCATACACAGTACGACGGCTGCATCCCATTGCTCTTGCGACGTCAATAACTGATCTTCCCGCTTGCAACATGCCAACGGCACGTTCACGTTGCACATTTGACAATCGTGGCATTTCAAGTACCGTTAGAACTGTGGTTTAAAAGTGTTTTTTCAATTCTTGAGGCCAATGCAAACACGTGCATATGAAGAAAACTTCGATGCGAAGATCACGTGATCGACTGCACGTGCAAAACCTGATTTGGCACTAACGTCGTTTGCACGAGGAATGGATGGGTTTGAGTGGGTTTTGCTAACGTTTTTCTAGAGTCGAAAGATAGGGATCCCATTTCGGATACATAGATGTATCATCAGAGAAAAAATATTCATTATTTTTCAAATTACATTTCGTGGAGTTTCTTTTTTGACTCAGTATAGTTTAGGGCTTTGTTAGAACTCCCAATCAGATGTAAAGAAGCACAGAATGGTGACCGCATGTTATAACATTGCGCACTGCACTGACGCTTCATGCTGTTATAACAGAACAACATCACACATTCTGCATCATAACAACATATCACACAACATCTTTGCTTCATGCTGTGATAGCCCTATGTTTTTCTTTCGAGTGGAATCTCGCGAACGGCTCAGTGACTACAGTGTTCATTCATCAGTATGTGAACACCTCTACTTAATAGTCGTTGTTGGTGATCACAGTTATCTGATACCCTGTTTCACAACGGCACATCTACAAAGTCTCGTATCAGCCATCGACTTGTGCTGTGGTAGCCTCATGTTTCCATCTGTAGCAATCTTGTGTATTATTGAAAACCAACTACAATACTTTTATATTTGTCATTATAAATTACTTTGATGCTTGTTGTGGAAATAACCTCAGATACTGCACTGATGCTTCCCGTTGTCATATCCTCGAACATGTCATGTGACCTGTTGCCACAACAAAAATGTGAAGCTGGACAGCTTATATTAATTAAGTTGACAAAAATACTCCAAAGGATTTGCATAAATGACAGCCGACTCAGTAAAGACCAAAATCTGGAATTTTGACCAGATTTGCTGGTCCGTAAATATCATAATCACTTGTTATGACTTTATTACTGTCATAGAGCAAACCATCTCAATAAGTTTCTGTAAAACTTCATGTATTCAAACGACATAGTTGGCTGCAGAATTTTTCTCCTTCCGGAGTTTGGTGATAAAATCCTCGAGAAAAGAATAGAAAAGAGTGAAATTGTCCAGAACTGAAAGCACATACGCCTGCACGAAAGTGTGAAATGGATGTCTGTCTGTCTAACTGCGTATTGAGCTGACTGATGGTAGTAATGCATGGCGGCATCCTGAGACTGCACTGCTTCCAGATGTAAAGCAGAGACAAACATCATACAAAGATTGACTGAATCTCACCGTATTTTGAAACGTGGAAACTCCATCTTGAGTGCCATCTTCTTCGTCTTGGTAGCTGCGAGTTTTTCTTTATCCTTCTCTTTGCCATTCTTGCCATCCTTGTCCTTGCCCTTGTCCTTGTTCTTTCCCTTGCCCTTGCCCTTGCCCATGCCATCGCCCTTGTCCTTGTCCTTGTGCCCTTGTCCTTGTCCTTGCCCCTTGCCCTTGCCCATGCCATCCTTGTCCTTTGCTCCCTTGCCCTTGCCCTTGCCCTTGCCCTTGCCCCTTGCCCTTGCCCCTTGCCCTTGCCCTTGCCCTTGCCCATGCCATCGTCCTTGCCCTTGCCCTTGCCCTTGCCCATGCCATTGCCCTTGTCCTTGTCCTTGTCCTTGTCCTTGCCCTTGCCCTTGTCCTTGTCCTTATCGTCCTTGCCCTTCCCTTTTGGAGTTTGAGAAAGATTGTCACTTACCCACTTTCTTTTATGCTAACGGGAAAGGTAACTGCATAACTATAAATTGCATACAAACGTTATTTAAAAAGTTTTAACTCTAAAGAAACACATAGCAAACATCTTTGACCTTAATCACTGCCTTGATTCGTTTTGGCATAGACTTGTAGAGACGGTCAAAGGCTTCTCTTGTGACAGAATACCAATGTTTCTTGACCAATTCCCAAAACTGTTCACTTGATGTAGGCATCTCACGAGCAATTCTTTTACCAACAATATCCCACAGGGACTCAATCGGACTCATATCCGGTGAATATCCAGGCCATTCAAGGAGAGGAACGCCCTTTCTGGCCAAACATGTTCTCGTACTCTTGGAAAAATGGGCTGGAGCCTTGTCTTGTTGAAATTTCTTTTTTTGCTTGGAAAAGCAAGTCATTCGCAGTGTTCCTTTATGTCGTTGATGATGTGAGTCTGATAACGGTCAGAATTCAAAGTTCCAGGCACTTTTATAAGAATTCCTACACCGTTGGCTGATAGTATGCCCCAAACGTGAACTTTGGGGTGGGTGATTGACAGTTGCTTGGGTACAATAATAACGGCATTTTTCATAGGAATATCGCCACACCCTCATTCGTCTACGATTGTTAAAACATCTGAATATCGACTCATCTGAAAATAGCACCCGGCACCAATCTTGCACCCCGAAATGTCTGTGTGCCTTTGCCAATTCGTACCTCTGTTTTCGCTGGCGTTTGTTCAGAAGCGGATTTCTGCAAGAGACATAACATTTCAGACCGAAGGCTCGCAGTCGACGTGACTCACTTTCAGACCTAATGTTCTTCTAATTTGACCCCGCAGAATGTTCACTGTTGCAAATCTATCCCTAAGACACAATCTTCTTATGAAACGGTCATCTCTACTGGACGTACATTTTGGCCTGCCAGACCTTTTAGCTTCAAGTATGCACCCAGTGACTGAATTTTTATACAACTTTATCATGCCATGGATTGAAGCATTAACATTAAAAAAAATTCTCAAGCACGTTTGTACTTCTTTCCATGAAAGGCCAGTACCCCTCAAGGTAACAATTTGAATTCTTTCAAATGAAGTCCAATTTCTACTTTTAACTGCAGGCTTTCTGCAAAATCAATTGATACCAATTTACTCATATAATTTTGTAAATCATTTAAAAACTTAAGTTAAAAAAGTTTCTTTAAGGCAAGTGTATTACATTTCAAAACTGTGAAATGTCTTAGTATTCTTGTATCGTTTTGGCATTATGTATCATGCATGTTAAATGTCAATCTATTCCTCAGAAAGATGTAAAAAATAAAATGTATAAAATACTTAAACATGTAAGATTTTTTCAACATTATAAAAACATTTATTTACTTACCTCTCTTTATCAGCACCACCCTTTAATGCCATAGTGTTGTCCATCTACAACTGTAGTCATGGTTACGGCTGCATGTCATAATGCAGTGTCATTATATGAAAAGGTGTTGTGTCATTTACATATTAGGCATTTGAACTTTAATAATTTACCAATAACAAGTGTATCAATATTTGCTTCTTTCATGTTATCGCTAAGAAACGAAATTCAAAACTGAATGTAACAAACTTTTGTTCGTGGGCTGTATTCTTGGCACGCTTGGTCAGGCTTCAGCTGTCACCAGATGGTGGTTCAGAGTTGAACCAGTATCCCACTAACTTAGTCAAGAGGACCATATCAACCACACTCCAGCCCAAACCCAAACTGACCAAGCTTGAAACCGCCCCCATCAAAGTTACCCTGACCTACATTGGCAAGACCTCTGATCAAATCAGCAGACGACAAAACATCAGTCATGCATCGACACCATCTTCACTGGCTCTCCATCCCTCAGAACCATTCTCCAAGCTAATAGCCGTAAAAAACTCTCCCAAAATCACCAAGACCCCCGCCACCCCAAGGGGTAATCTACAAGATTAACTGTGAATGCGGTGACTCTTATGTAGGTGAAACCTCTCATCCCGTCGATGCCCGCACGAAAGAACATAACACCTCAACAACCAACGTCGACAGCAGATCAACCGTCTCATATCACCAACAACAATTCCCTACCCATTTTACCCAATTTGAAATCCTATCTACCAAGAATCAGGACGTCACGGAATTACATCGAAAGTCGCTGCCACAAACCTTTGATAAACAGAGACCAAGGGTCCAACATATCATCGACCTAATAAAAAACTAATCAAGTTCTAGACACTATCAAAGCACCCTATCCGCTTGTTTGTACTATTTTATCCCCTTTGTTGATTGGCTTCATCACCTCTGCTATTTGATGTTCATAGACCCAAACTGGCCTCATCCGATAATGACCAATTGTTATTCATGCTGATGTTAATGTTCATCTGTTGTTTATCACAGCATATTATGTATGCACACACGTAATTTACATAGATTTTCTTTCTTTCTTTGTTGTTTAACGCCACACTCAAGTCCTATGAACATTGTCTGTAAATAATCGAGTCTGGACCAGAATATTCAGTGGTTGACATCATGGGGGTCGATCTATACTATAGGAAAACGATGATATGCATCAATAAAGTCAGCAAGCCTCATCACCCGATCCCGTTAGTAGCCTACGATAACTGGTTCGGGTTGCTGAAGACCAGTTCTAACCTACGATAATTGGTTTGGGTTGCTGAAGACCAGTTCTAATCTACGATAACTGGTTCGGGTTGCTGAAGACCAGTTCTAACCTACGATAACTGGTTCGGGTTGCTGAAGACCAGTTCTAACCTACGATAACTGGTTCGGGTTGCTGAAGACCAGTTCTAACCTACGATAACTGGTTCGGATTGTTGAAGACCAGTTCTAGCCTAGATCTTCACTGGTAAGGATCCCAGTAAGAAGGCCTAGCTCTATAGTTTGGCATGAAATGCATGTGGACCCGGTTTTTTAAAATATCTCTTCATCCAATGACCCACTCGATCTCAAACTGTGCAAGTGGATGTTTTGTCAGACAACCTAATCACATTGTAAATCACCGATTTTATGCATTTGTATTAAAGAATCTGTCTATGTAACTGTCAACAAAATAAACAGCAGAACGCAGACTGTTTGCAGTGGGAAGATGGTAGGATTCCATTAATTCTAAATGATTGCAGTTTGGCATAGCTGTTGCTGGAAAAATCCAGAACTGTATAATAGGTATACAATGGATGGTTGTTGAGATGTATGAGGGGACTACTTTCGATTTACGCTCTTCTGTATGCTAACATCGACGTTTCAAGATCTCTCAAGAGGCCTCGTCTGCATTGAAGCTGTCAACAATCTTCTATCAGTGTATCTGTTAACTGGAAAGATCAAGACTTTGGTGAATTAATATTGACATCATATTTGTGACCCAACAGTTTAGATTTGTGATCCAGCAGTATTCCTTTAGAAATCTGTACTGTCATTCATTGTAACCTTGTTTATAAAATGGGGCGGTGGGGTAGCCCAATGGTTAAAGCGTTGGCTCGTCACGCCGAAGACCCGGGTTCGAATCCCCACATGGTCACAATGTGTTAAGCCCATTTCTGGTGTCCCCCGCCGTGATGTTGCTGGAATATTGCTAAAAGCGGCGTAAAACCAAATTCAGTCAGTCAGTCAGTTGTTTATAAAATACACAACTGAATATTATAGACTCGTGTTTTATTTTGCTGGTTAAAAGGGGACTCACAAGCCTTTTATCTCAGTAATTTTTAAACCGTAACAACGGCTAAGGAACGTTACAGGATCTCAGAAAAGAAGAATGTTTTCAAATATAAAACCTTCTCACTATTCATTGCGTTTCACAACAATCCTTCAAGATATTGATTGCTAATAGTATAGTGTATTGGAAACTAAATATATACTGATAAGGGCACTCACGATTTTCGTGACAGGAGATTATGAATGTCAAGCGAAACTATATTACACTCTTCTAAAAAGCTCACAGGCGTTTTCAGGAGTTCATTTCGATATATACTCTCCCAAAAAAGAATCGCATCATGAAAATAGTAATTTCATGTTGCAATGAAGTAAATCGTGATTCATTTTACCAAAGGTTTTGCTCTGTTTATGAGTCCTATGGTGTTTATGTTTTGAAACAACAAAACACACCATCCGTAAAATACCCGTATGTAACAGCATGATTTTCAATTTCGGAGTGTAGTGTCACAGAATACACAATTCACATGCAATGCACGTGAAAGTTGGGGATCAGATAGTCTCAATGATGGGTATAAACGGTTGATCGCTGTCTGTCGATAACGACGCGATTGAAGAATGCAAGTGTACAGACGTCGACGTGAACGTTTCGCCGACGCTTGCGTTCCCCAGGTGGACAGATTCGGCCGGGACAGTGTTATGATGTGGGGAGTGATGACCTGCCGTAGGAGAAGCTATTTGTAGATGATCTAGGGCAACCTGACAGCTCAACGGTACTGTGACGAAATCCTACGCCCACACCTCCTTCCAATCGCCAGAGGGAGTTGTTTCAACAGGACAATGCCAGGCCCCACACAGCACGCCACACTAGAGACTTCCTCCAGAACCACAACATCAATGTGCTCCCCTGGCCCTCAAGATCACCGGACTTAAACCTGATCGAACATCTGTGGGATGCCCTAAACAGACGGGTGCGACGCCGTAACCCTCAGTCCCAGACACTTCAGCAACTCGCACAGGCACTACAGGCAGAGTGGGCTGCGATTGGGCCAAAAAAGATTCTGAGACTTATTCGTTCGATGCCGAGGCGATGCCGTGCAGTTCTGGATGTCCACGGTGGTCACACGAGGCATTGACTTCAGCGGCACCACACGTCTCCATGTGACACTCAAACTGACTTTCCTCGAGTTGGTGCCAAAGACGGATAAGTCTGCATTCCCAGTGTGCAATTTCGCTATATTTCATTGACTCATAAAGCCTACAAGATGTTTCAAAATAAACATAAAAATACAGTTGAAATTCCTATATGCGTTTCTTTTTTGGGAGAGTATATTTTGACAGCAATCGTCATTACGACAATTCCTATGTTTAATCCCGTTAATCATGACGTGTTTGGTGTGCATTGCGCATCCCAAAGTGTGTTTGTAAATGTTTGTCGTAAAAATGAAAACGATACATGAAAAGTGCAAAAGATTTGTCCACGTAATGCACGTGCAATGTGTGGGAAACATGAGTAGAGACATCGACTATAAAAGGCCAAACCAAATCCATCATTTCATTCCGAAATTAACGACGTAAACGAAGATAAAAAATGCCAAGACTGACCGAAATACATTCGTCACTACTCGCCCCTTTCCGTAACTTCCAAGAAGGCTCGTCCCCGTCTCGCTGCTTGTTAAATGCGAAAATACGACAAACCAATCAGAACGCGCGTAATGATTGCGGTGCTTTGATAAATTTAATCCCGAGTACTTAAATCGTTTTTTGTACTGTGTCATTGTTTAGAAAACCATGAAAAATATATAAATCGTCCTATTGAAAGTACAAAGAACGTAGCTAACGGAATTGTGTTGCCTCATGTGATATTTTCAATACGGATAATGCTATGGACGCTGAGAGGTTCAAATACACGCACGTGCTTTTGTTTACATAACGGTATTTATTTCCAATTTGGTGTTTTCTCTGGCGATTTGCAGGCATGTTTTGGAGATTCTACGTGCGCTTCCGACATTTTTAGTCAATGTAATTCTACATAGCAATCTATTTTTATATAACTAATCAACTTTAAACTCAATCACTGTGTTTACAATTCACTTCACTGGGCACCTTTTAGTTTCTTGGGTCCTTCATATTTTGTCAGCGTATTCATCATAAATTCCCCCTGGGGTATGGCAGCAAGGTTACATGCAAGTTGACACCGCGTACACAAATTCTCCAGTTCGAGATATCTGTTAAAGTAATTTTTGTGTATTTATTTTCTTTTATTATGTACAGGTAAATGTTACTTTAAAAATTGCCTATTCAGGAAGAAAACAAACCACGTGCGATTCGTCCCCAGACACTTGCAGAACTTGCTAACGCGTTGCAGGAAGAATGGCGAAGAATCCCCCTCGCAAAAATCCGACAACTTGTGCAATCCCTTCCAAGACGGTGTCGAGCAGTGACGGCTGAAAGTGGTGGCGTCACCAGGTACTGACCTGAACGACCCCTTGCGTCCACACATGTGCAGTGAGTGAACTGAATTGACAATGACAACAATATATAGCTTCATTCATGTGTCGAATTTCCTTTATCTATGTTACTTGAATACGTTCAATACATTTCTTATTTATGGCATGTGCGTTTCTTTTTTTAAGAGTATATTCTTCTGTAATGCTAACATTTTTCTTGATCCATATCACACTTTTACATAAAGATCGGTACATAATTCATGGAATCATATTCGCAAGGCAAGTACAGGTTCCCTGATAATATTTCTGTGGTAATCGGCGCCCAATCAGTGCTCGTAACGCTCGGCAGCAAACGCCTAAGATCACTTTCCATCAACAAGAATCTCGAATGCGGTGGTACATGTGGACCAGTATTAAGTACATGTGGACCAAACGTATATAAAAAAATTATCATAAGCTCTGGTCTTATTGTTTTTTAAATAACCAATAGACAGAGCCACTTGATCCCCTCCTACCATTCCATGGAAATAGTTTCATCGATGTAGGCACCAAAAGATTTCCCTAAAGAACAGGTTCAAAGATATAAAAGCATTGATTTTTAAACTTTTCAACAGCGTCTCAAATGACTAACTTAGATAAAATCACATGGAGAATAAATCAACAAACGTGTTTGATCATAGATACCACTGTCTTCATAGGTTCAGGAATATTTTTCAA